ATAAATGTTACAGAACAACAATTTTCCACCAAAATTAGGTGAAAGACCACATGCTTACATGGAAAAACTAGTTTTTAGGTGATTCCAAAGGTTTTCATCATTTTTGTTAACCCTTTACCACATATATACGCGAAACAACGCACTTTCGACCCCCCCCCCACTTTTAGGCCTCAAATAGTGAAAAATGTCCTATTTGGGCCCCAAACATAAGTTTTCGTTTAGGAAATGTTGCTAAAAAAATTGAGCACTTTTTCGGCGCCGCCCCCCATCTAAAAGATACATCAGGGGGTTGCCAGAAGGGGGATGTGCCCTCTTCTGTTAGGGGGTTTGAAGGGGGGCGGAGTCCCCCTCATCGCCAAGAAAATTTTGGACTTGTGAGAGGCTAAAAATGACCCCAGGTCGATAATAATGTAACGTTTAACCAACGCTGAAAAACCTTTGACTCTATCTCCCTTGAGCAGTTGCAGCACTTTGAAATAAATTTTGATGGAAAAAACCGAGGCAAAATAGTGATTTTTGGCAATTTTGAGATGTCCCCTCGTTTCCATGGTAACAGGAAATTTAAGACTGAGCATGTCGTTACAAAGGCAATGGTCCAGTCAACATTTGTGCCAAGTTTGATTAGTATTGAAGCATTTTTCATAGCAGTTTGAACTTGTAACAGGAGGCTTTTTAGTGAAAACGGCCATTTTTCAAGCATTTTGGCTTCAGGGAAAAGTCGCCCGTTTAACAGGAGTTATGTTCCTTTTGACTGCACCTTATTTCATATTAGATTTTTCTACCTTCTGTGTTTCATCTTGATATGTCCTGCTTTTAAATTTTTTGACGTTATGTTCGTGAACAAGCTTCAGACAGTGTTTCAAAATTACAAAGCCAATTAACTTTCTCAGAATTAGGGACAAAAATTTTTTTATTGGGGTTTATTATCGCACTGGAATGCCCAACTCAAATTTAGTTCATGTGCCCCTATGAAAGTTTCAATGTTGAATAATTTTACCAGTTTTTAAAAGTTTATTGCGCCGGACGAAGGTAGTTTGTCTATGTACGGGAGAACAGCTCAACAAAACCGGTACAAATTAATGTTATGGCTTCTTTGACGATTCTACTCCCCCTAAATGCCCTCTACCACTGTATGAAGTTTCAACAAATTATCTCCAAGGGTTTTCAAGTTATGCTCCGGACAAGACAACGGACGGACAGGCGGACAAGGCGCCGACTATATGCTCCCCCGAAATTTTTCGGGGAGCATAAAAACACAGGTGTCTAGCCCTGTCAAAATTGTAAAGGAGGAGACTCTCCCAATAGAAGAATTGGAGGAAATTGTCATATCCGATGATGAAAACGACGGACAGAGAGTATTTCGGTCCGACATGGAATAAGGAGTCCAGAATGCGGAGGTAACTGAAGGTTGTGGATACATGGCGGCATAGCGGGTTACTTTGGGGATTCTTATTTCTCTCTATTTTATCGCCATATCAGCGTTGTTTGTGCTGTGTCGAGGCTGTAAAAAGTCGCCCCGTCATTTTATCAGGGATGTTATATTTCCGATCCTTAAAGATCGTTCAGCACGGCATTATTGTTGTGCTAGTGGTATTTTAGTTCTTTCTATTCGGCAACTTTCTTGTTGGGTGGTTCGATTCACCCTTAGGATATGTGGCCTGCTTTTTAAATTTGTCTTTTGACGTTTTATCTGTGATATGCAGGCTTCAAGGGGCTAGGGGGCGTGGACGGTAACTTGCACTTTCCAGTACCGTCCATGAACAGGCTCAATCAAACCGAGCCTGCAACATTTTCAATTTTGCCGTGTTGGGCTTTCTTTAGGGATTCTGTATTTATCTATTTTATGATCACATCCGTGTTATTTGTGCCGTGTGGCGGCTGTAGAAAGTCTCCCCGTACATTTAATCAATGATGTTATATTTTCGATCCTTGAAGATCGTTCAGCACGACATTATTGTTGTGCTTGTGGTATTTTTATTTTCAACTTTTCGGCATTTTCTAGTTGGGTGGTTCCAATATTCCTACTTGAATAATGTTGAATCACCCTTAGGATATGTTGCCTGCTTTTTAAATTTGTCTTTTGACGTCTTATCTGTGATACGCAGGCTTCATAACCTCTGATCCCCTTTCAAAATTCCATTTTATTTAGTTCCGCCCATTGTTTTCTCGTTTAGGGCACACGCTTTTTATTACTTGGGGACCATACGCCGCTTTTCATGGAATGGCACGGAAGTGTCACATTGAAGGTTCCATGATAACCGCCGTATGAACACATCTGCGGATGTTTCTAAATTCAAAATTTTATTATTTCACGTTTAAATGTTGAATTCTGCTTAAGCCGGTGCTAGGGGGCGTGGACGGTAACTTGCACTTTCCAGTACCGTCCATGAACAGGCTCAATCAAACCGAGCCTGCAACATTTTCAATTTTGCCGTGTTGGGCTTTCTTTAGGGATTCTGTATTTATCTATTTCAGAACCTCAGATCCCCTTTCAAAATTCCATTTTATTTAGGTCCACCAATTGTTTTCTCGTTTAGGGCACACACATTTTTTTACTTGGTGACCATGTGACGCTTTTCATGGAATGGCACTAACGTGTCAAATTGAAGGTTCCATGATAGCCGCCAAATGAACACATCTGCAGATGTTTGAAAATTTTACCAGTTCATGTTAAATGTTTAATTCTGCTTAAGCCGGTGCTAGGGGGCGTGGACGGTAGTTTGTTCCATGAACAGGCTCAATCAAACCGAGCCTACAAGATTTTCAATTTTGCCGTGTTGGGCTTTCTTTGGAGATTCTTATTTCTCTCTATTTTTACACCAAAGGACAAGTTCATGCCAAAGAGACCAAAAGAAGATCTACGCGTGTCTCTCAACAGGAAAAGACACGGCCATTATTTTGGAGAGGAGAAACATGAGGCCCAGAAAGGTTAGGCTGAAGTACTGTCCGTTAGATGGATGATCAGCAGCGGTTCGGAATGTTCGCCGACATGTGATGGAAAAACACCTTCGAGGGTCATTTGTGCCATTCTGATCGAGACTGTCACAGACAGCTCGGTTTACTCTGAAACCTGTGAACAGCGATGCTCTACTTTGCCATTCGAGGGTCTTACTCGTTCTGCTGTGCCAATTGTCTTCGGAAGAACATCGTCGGATACCCACGATTGATAAACATGTCACATAACATGCAATCAATTTTATGAATTAAATGGAACTGATTTTCCTAATAAAAAGAACTAGTCTTATGTGTTTTCACTTTGCTAAATTTGCTTTTTGTATTGCCACTGGGCTATTGTAACATAGTTTAGAACGGTGGTGTTTTCAGCAAAAAGTGAAACATGTGCTTAACATCTGCTTTTTCCCAATCACTATCGACAACATCACAGGTTGAATCGCTTTTCTTTTTACAACATGTTATTTCTTATATTAACTGTCCGCGTATACATGTATAATAGAAACATATTTCTTAAAATTTAAGTAAGAGTTTGATATAACTGTAGCTTGATACTACATTGTGTATTTCATAAATGTGTGCTATCAAATTTTCAAATACCAAATGGTCCAGCATGAACATATTTAAGAAATGATATGTAGTAAAAAGAAAACATTCCTCCTTAAAAATCACCTGCAGTGAAAGTAGGGCACCACTCAAAGTGTGTGTCATAGCTGTATTGACATAACTACAGCTGCACATAACACATTTGCTGCGTTTGAATTTGACTGTTCCATCAGCCAGCTTAATGATTATCTAATTATTGGTCATAACAAACTAGTCCTCATGAACTTTTATTACTAAAATTTACAAATCTTGATTGAAGTTTTTGCAGCCAATTTCTGTTAAGCTAATTGTAATCAAATACAGTAGAACTTCGGTAAGTCGAAGTTGAAGGGACTTGCGTAAAAACTTCGACACATCGGGACTTCGACTCATGAATCGCTCTCAATTCCATGACAAAATTTCGACCCGTGACTAGTCTATAACCGAACCTATTTCATGTTTTTCCATCGTTAATCTGATATTCACATTTTACAATGATAAATATAGCATGTTAAATAACGTTTTTCACGGCTAATTATTTGGACTACCCGTTGACGTATGCAAAAGAGTTACAAAAGGCATAACAATACGAAAGGGCGATAACTTAACCAACTTATAGTATATATTTTGCGTGTTATTCTCACGCGACACCGGGTCAAGGATGTAATCAAATGAAAGTAGTTCTTACTGTTTACTTTCAAATACCACTACGGCAATTAAAATAGTAACGATTAAAGCATTTTATCACACATTTTATCGCAAACAAAGGCTGTTTGAACACACGGCTATGTAATTAACACCTGTCACACAAGTTGATTGGAAATTGTCTTCGCAACCAGAGAAGGTGTGAGATCGACGGTGTAAAAATAATCGAACAACTTCGACTTATTTGTGGTAAATTACACTAGATTAACTTAACACGGACCACGAAAAAACTTCGACACATCGAAAAATTCGACACATAAAATCTCGACTCATAAATAGGTTTTTATAAGGAATATATAGGGGGAAAAGTCGGGACTTTAATTTTTCTTCGACACATCGAGAAAATCGACTAATCGAAGTTCGACTCATAGAAGTTCTACTGTATATAAATACAACCCGAAAAAATTAACAACCTCAAATTTATAATTTATTTACCGGTAAACAAACAGGTACATTTAGTTTTATACAAATTAAAAAAGACCAGTGTACATTTGATTATTCACTAGCTAGACATAATGTCACCACTTTCACAATCGGAGTCAGAATTAGACGATTCTGACTCTGGTAAGTCACCACACATCTCAAAAAAAGGATGAGTATAAGATGAACAATCTTCTCGTTCACATGTACACTTCTTATCACAACATAAATGTGCTAATATACTGTCATTAACTGTAGTGTTATATGCTTTTAAAATCACTTTGCGACGACAGGTTTCTTTGTTGATAATATATTCACTCATGTCATTGTCTATACCTCTACACTGCTGTCCATTGAACAATAAAACTGTCCATATTTTTGGGCACTCCAAAGATTATCACCTGGCCAATGTCCTTGAAGTTCACACCCATCCCAGCAGCACTAGTTGCAACTAAAAGTCTAATTTTGCCATCTTTATTACCCAGATCTTGCTTAATGTCTTCCTTAACATTTTTAACTGTCATTGAGTGATACATCTGTACAAACTGAATGTCACTTTCCAATTCTAAGTGTAACATGGTATAAATTTCACTACATGATTTAATAGAAGTACAAAATACAAGGTATCTGTCACATTTTTCTTCTTTTTTTTCTAGTAATTCAATGATCATAAATGCAAATATCTTTGTAACATCTTGGCTAGATTTGAATTTGTGCAAAAATAATTTAATATTGGTTCTATCTGGGCTTTTAAATTTTTCAAAACAATTTTTCATGCAGAAAATCTTTTGCATCTTCAAACGTGAAGCTTTACTTGCTGTTGCTGTGATAAGCAACAATGGACACTGTACTAATGATCGCACTTCCCCAAGTTTTCCAAACCATTCTCTAAAAGGTGTAGACTGCTGATCACCATCAACTTCTCCCCTGGAAAATGATGAAATTAAATATTTTTGAAATGAAACTTTACAATGACTAAGCATATTAGCTTTACTTGTTAAAATTTGAGAAATTCTATTTCCATTCTGACTTACATTTCTTCTTATATTTATTATATTTGGGTGTATTTGGGTATATATGGTTATTTCGTGCTGTCCATCCAAAATTGTTTAGTAATGTTTACAGTATTGACCTACATCTTGTTGAATCATTGAAATGTAACTAAATGTTTTGAAGGCAGAAATACTCTACTGCAAATGAGAGTCAGTCACTCAAAACAGTGTTGTGGGGGTTGCGTTCATTGAACGTCGCCTTTCCTTGTTGATCTTGTTTATCAGATTTTTTGATAGTTCAAAAGTTAAAAATATAGACCATTTTCCTCCCAACTATGTAACCAGGATAAAATTATACATGTAAAAGTATTTCACTACAGTTACTAGAAGGACACTGCCGTGGGTTTGGATTCTTTGTTTGTATTCAATAATTTACAAAATCAAAACAAATAATGAAAAAGGTATGGGCCTCATCTACAACTATTAAGCGAATCCTGAAATTTTGTAACAGCATGTCCCTCCACTTTGCAACACCAAGGAGACTTTCTGGTGAAGTAAACAAAAAGTCGTGTATTCCTTCTAAAATTTCATCATCTTCTTTCTTGTTCCTGCCTATGTATGTTGCACAAAATCCTAATGAATTTAGAAAATAGATAAATACAGAATCCCTAAAGAAAGCCCAACACGACAAAATTGAAAATGTTGCAGGCTCGGTTTGATTGAGCCTGTTCATGGACGGTACTGGAAAGTGCAAGTTACCGTCCACGCCCCCTAGCACCGGCTTAAGCAGAATTCGACATGAAATAGTAAAATTTTGAATTTAGAAACATCCGCAGATGTGTTCATACGGCGGTTATCATGGAACCTTCAATGTGACACTTCCGTGCCATTCCATGTAAAGCGGCGTATGGTCCCCAAGTAATAAAAGGCGTGTGCCCTAAACGAGAAAACAATGGGCGGAACTAAATAAAAATGAATTTTGAAAGGGGATCAGAGGTTATGAAGCCTGCGTATCACAGATAAGACGTCAAAAGACAAATTTCAAAAGCAGGCAACATATCCTAAGGGTGATTCAACATTATTCAAGTAGGAATATTGGAACCACCCAACTAGAAAATGCCGAAAAGTTGAAACTAAAAATACCACAAGCACAACAATAATGTCGTGCTGAACGATCTTCAAGGATCGAAAATATAACATCATTGATTAAATGTACGGGGAGACTTTTTACAGCCGCCAGTCACACTGTTCTTTCATAATGGAAATAGAGGCGTAACATTCAGCACTTGGCAATGCTCTTTTTCTCGACATTCACAAATATACTGGAAAGCCTCGGGGGTTGCGTTCATTGAACGCCGCCTTTGTGGGCATAATATTCTTTTCTTTTAATTCCTAATCAGTTACAAATTATTTATCATTTAATGATTAACCCGTCCGTGCTCTGTCTTTGCCCTGTCCTGTTTTTGTTTGGGGTCCGTCTGGGCTCCTTGCCACTGGTTCTTGTTGCTGGGTCATATGGGGGTTGCGTTCATTGAACGCCGCCCTTGTTGATCTTGTTTATCATATTTTTTTCCTTGTTGATCTTGTTTATCATATTTTTTGCCACCACCAGTTCTAACAGAAAGGAAAACATCACGCTGTAAAAGTAAATTATCTATACTTTCTTGCTGGAAATCGTTTAATTTTTCGATGTTGAACTTTTCACAAACTGATTTAAACGTGTCGTCTATGGTCGTCGCTATATTGTCTGTAATACCGAACGTCGTATAGAACGCGCGTTTTGATTGGTTTTAGTCGCCTCATGAAATCGTGAGGCAGCCAATGAAATAGCTGCCTTTGACACACCTCTAATCGACTGAATATCGGCAAAAAATCCCACGGCTGATGAATGATAATGGTTCGGCCATGGGTATCCGACGATGTCGGAAGAACAGTGCTGTTTCCTTAGTGGAGTGGTCAGCGACAGCGTAGTTAGTGACTAACCAAAAAAATAGAAAAAAAACAGAATCCCTTAAGAAAGTCCAACACAACTAAATTGAAAATGTTGCAGGCTCGGTTTCATTGAGCCTGTTCATGGACGGTACTAGAAAGTGCAAGTTACCGTATACGCCCCCTAGCACCGGCTTAAGCAGAACTCATGTTTTGGATAACGTTGGATTTGAGGATGAAGAGAAGGACGAAGATTTGCCTGGCTTACCTTTTGAAGAGATGGAAGATTTGCAAGTTTTGGAAGCTTTTGATTCTCACTTCAATGCAGACCGACTCAGCAAATTGTTGATGGGTCATCCAAGGGGGGCGATAGCCGACCTGATAGAACTGCAAACCACGGAACATAGTAAATGTCGTCGGGGGAAGTATTGGTTTATGGCGACCCAGAGACTTATCCGTTAAGCTCCCCAGCCTGAAAGGTTTCGGTGCGGCAATAGGTGTGTCTCCAGTGTTTTTTTTTGTCGAAATATTCGGCGATATTCGGCCCCTTTCCCCACCTCTCGGAATATATATTTTTCCCCATGAAATTGCGTAAATTCCCTACCGTCAAAAAAATATACCCAAACAAGAAACAGAGAGGAAGACACACAAACCATAAGTAAAATATGCCAATTTATTTTGATTCACATAGCAAATTCATGAACTCAATCATTATTATCAGGGATGTTTACTTTACGCTTGCTTTGCGACATAGGTCGTTCGTTTTACCGCGGCTGTAAGACAATACGGTAACGCGAGAATCGGTTATTGAGTTTATTATTTACCGTTGGCTTTAATGAAATAATACATGCAAATATTTATAATTAAACAATCGCCTACTTGGCAAGTATAAAATAAACATAAAATGAAAGAAAATTACGCTATGAAAAAGAGATTACAGTAACCAGGGCTGGGAATCAAAACTGCGTCGTATCCTACAAAATGTAAACAAACGCCGCCATCTTGGAACGAAAAACGTATGTTTTTGTTTATAACTCTTTTTGTTGGAAATGACTGAAAACCAGATATATGTATTAACACGCTACACTATTTTCCGCTTCGTTCGGTACATGTTGCTTGCACAGCTATTTTGTAAAACAAAAGTTATAGCGAACTTGCAACTCGAAGCGGGGCAGAATTTTTATGAAAATGTGTGGATACGACGCAGTTCATATTGCTTTATCTAACGTTTTTTCCTTCAAATCAATTATATATTTGTTTCAGAGTTCACCATAAACTTCGAAATATAATGTTGCATCATTTACTAAAATTTCATTAAAAAGAGATGTTTATTTTCAAAGAAAATAATGAATTTTACGAAATGATACAACAGTTGAAAATAGAATATGATACCACGCAGTTGTATTTTTGGCAGTCTTTTCAACATGGATAATTTTGGCAATATATTTCTATTTTATGGAATAATAACTTGCGCTAGATAAAAAAACCCAGATCATTTGAGGTGTATAGCAATGTTCTGTTACTTTTGATTATTTAGAATACATTGTGTCATGTCCAATATAACATTTAATTTGAAAGTTTACATTGGGGGAAGCTTACTTTTCAGTTAAACATGAACATGTCACCTAATTGATCATAATATCTGAAACTATTTCTTATATTTCCTGTATGTTCAATATTATCCCTAATTATTTTCGCAAAAAATGTAGAAATCTATTAACTTGAATTCATTTTGGCTAGCTATGCTCTAAGTTAACTGTGGTTTTGCGTGTTCTGGGTAATGACTGCTTTTGTGTGGTTTGTTTTCAAACTTTCACTCTACACATTAGCTTTAATAGGAGCGAGGACCTCAGGTGCGCCTTTGTGCATTATTTCAGGCAAAATTTTGCACCTGCAGAGAACCATCGACATTTCGAAACTAGCTTGATAGGTTGTCCACACGAAAGAATAAACAGTCCCTGGTGTTTTCGAATTCATAGCAGTTCAGTTCAAGTAATTCGAATTCAGTTAACATAAACAGCTCGGCCTCGGTCGGAAACACCTGTCGGAATTGTTTTGTTTTTTTTTCAACAAAATTTGTTAACGTCACCTGTACAAATAAGCAGCTTTTCGTTAACTTCTGGCGTGATGTTTTAAGATTATAAATATTTGAATTAATTATATAGAGAATAACATTTAAATTTCTTATTTCGGTATGACAAGCAGAGAAATTTTCAATGTAAACAGTGGGTAATCCTCTGTGAAGTCATTTTCTGAAAACTTTTGTTTAAGTTTTTAGGCAATTCATTATCAAATAAAAATCACACTTTTGTATGAAGGTATGTTAAGATACCATGTCTCTAGTCTGTTGAAAATTCGATGCGATAATCTGACCTAAATTTCTGTTCAATATTGTGAAAACTTCTTCAATACTGTTGAAAGATCATGTCTGCCTATATCTGTATCAAATTTATCGGTGCACAGCGTAAAATACCTTTGCAAAACGGACAACTTCTTTACAAAATAATTTGTAGTTGTATCATATGTAACTCGATTTTGAAAATTTAATGTTATTTAATGGAGAAGAATGATACTGAAGTGCAAATATAGAAAACATTTTTCCGTAGACATTTCCTCATCGACGATAAAGAAATGCAATACGACAAAAATCAGCGGTAAAGTTCCGCGGGGCTGACGTAAAATGACTAAACGGAACGCATAACCTACTTGCAAAAATATATTGTAGCTTAGCCAATTATAATATAATTTAAAAAATTTAATGTTCAGTTTCAAATAATCAAGCTCATCTGTTCTCACCGAAAATTAAGAAAATGAATACAATAAAATCGACACGTAAATGACATAAGTTATTACGGAATTGACGGAAATTATTGCTAATTACAAGTAACAAAGGAGCTATCTTCCGATAGCAAGAGACCTTTTCAAAATTTGTCATTCTTTCTCTTTTTTAAAAAAAGGGTCATTACTGATAAATACAGGGTCCAGGAGAGGTTACACTGGGATATTGAATTTTGTATCAAAAACAGTAATCACTCCCATTTCGAACTCACGGGAACAATTTTAGAAGCATGCTAAGGCAACACTGGAACACGTAGTCATATGGTGTGCGATCACGTGTTTCAATGTACATGTATATTGCATTTGATACAGCTTTTCGGAATCTGTAGATGCTTATGATAGGTACTAAAATGCGACCGAAAAATGCAACCTTAATAGAATTGTATAACATGTCCATTTTTATGGAACCAATGAGCGACCTCTGGTTTTGACTTGAGTAGTAAACAAGAAATATTGTTTACCTAGTACATAATTTAAATAGTTTTACCAATATGCAGCCTGCAATGATAATACAACTGCGTCGTATCATATTTTATTTTCAACTGCGTCGTATCATTTCGTAAAAATAATTATTTTCTTGGAAAATAAACATCTCCTTTTAATGAAAGTTAAGAAAATGATGCAAAATTATATTTCGAAGTTTATGGTGAACTCTGAAATAAATATATAATTGATTTGAGGGAAAAACGATAGATAAAGCAATATTAACTGCGTCGTATCCACACATTTTCATAAACATTCTGCCCCGCTTCGAGTTGCAAGTTCGCTATAACTTTTGTTTTACAAAATAGTTGTGCAAGCAACATATACCGAACGAAGCGGAAAATAGTGTAGCGTGTTAATACATATATCTGGTTTTCAGTCATTTCCAACAAAAAGAGTTATAAACAAAAACATACGTTTTTCGTTCCAAGATGGCGGCGTTTGTTTACATTTTGTAGGATACGACGCAGTTTTGATTTCCAGCCCTGGTAACAAGATGAAAATCCTCAAGTTACCGAACTGCCGATATGTCGAATTGTCGCTGTATCTTTACGGCTTTTACGACTATTGCATTTACTGCAAAAATGTCACACAGTAGTCGTTGTTATCGAAAGATAATAAATAAACAATGCTCAGCAAAGAACAAACGTATCGATGTTCTTTTTAAGCAGCAGGCACTTTCTGTGCTAGGTTCAAAGGAAAAATATCAAAAACCAGACCAATGCAAGTCAGCCGAGGTACGCTCGATATTTTTTTCTCAGCGTATTTTATTTAGTAATAATTAATGATATAAATATTTCCAATCAATTCACTAAATAACTTGTCTGCCATCGCAAATAAATGATAAATTATGATTATAGAAACTACGATTATGTATGCAAAATTTCATAACAAATAAATCTGTGTGAATAATGGCTAATGGTGCAGCTTGCGTTGAAAGGCTATTCAGTTTAAAGAACCTACTGTGCACTCCTCACAAAAAAAGACTGGGACAAAACAGTCTTGACAACCTGATTAAATTATGCAACTATGATGGGCACTTTAACATTGATGACCTGAATGCTGTCATCAATGAGTTTGATAATGACAGTAGGGAAATGAAATTGCACTGAATCAAACTGAACTGAAGTCACTCATTTAATAAAGTTGTTAACTACTTTCAATTAGTTGTTTTATTTATTTTATAGGATTGTTAAAAAATCATGTATTTTTAGTCTTTTTATTGAATATTAATAACACTGAAAATTCCCCTTTTTGGCATTTACGCGCTATTTTTCCCCACCCAATGGGCACTGACATCCTTCCCCCAAAACTGAAAAAAAAACACTGGTCTCCGAAAAGATGCCAGCATCTGACACCAGCCAAGTTGCAGGTGGTCCTTGACTATCTGAAATCTTGGGACGTTGTTGCGATAGGAGAGACTTGACTGGACAGGACACAACCTTAGAAGTTGTGGAAGTTGCAGGAGGAGACCATGGTGAAACTCCAGTAAGCCAGTCCGTCCAGTCATCTTGCATATGAGAGAAGGAGCAGATCAGCATGCAGGGGAGGTAAGTGCTTAGTGCTTAAAGTTGATGGTTGATGAAGGCGAATGTAGCCCGACTCAGAAAATACATCTACATTCTTTTGGCGGTACAGTGGAGCAGGTTGTAGGATGGTTGGATGCTTTCCCCAACTGTTATTTTGGATACAATGATAGGATATCTCCTTTTGACAAGTACCAGATCGCAGCACTACAACAGGTGCCAGCAAACCGTTTACTCCTTGAAACGGATGCGTCATGTTTCAAGCAAGCAGCAGCCCGAGCCAGTTCCCCTGCATATCACTTTGTTTGCAGATTTTTTTTACCTTGTTGACCTTTATTCTTGGTTTTTATGCCCCCGAAATCGCACCAAAGGATTGATGCATCTAAGAATTTTAGAATACCTTGGCATTAATGTCTACCACATAGAGACGATGTGTCGCCTCCAATAATCACGTCCCTACCTAAAGGTCAAGGTCGAACTAACATTATGATGTTTCTTTTTATCAACATAAGAGTTTATAAGTACACACATTTGTGTCCGGATTGTAACTTATGAACACATCTGCGGATGTTTCTAAATTCAAAATTTTACCATTTCATGTTTAAATGTTGAATTCTGCTTAAGCCGGTGCTAGGGGGCGTGGACGGTAGTTTGCACTTTACAGTGCCGTCCATGAACAGGCTCAATCAAACCGAGTCTGCAACATTTTCAATTATGTAGTGTTGGACTTTCTTTAGGGATTCTTATTTTCTCTACTTTGTCATGCATCGAAGGATTGTAGAATAACTTGGCCTACATGTCTACCATAACAAGACAATGTGTCGCGTTTAATAATCACGTACCTACCTCAAAGGTCAAGGTCACACTGCCATTTTGAAGTTCACTTTATCACAATTAGAGTGTAAAGGTACATACATTCGTGTCTGGACTATAACTTTGTCATTCATCGAAGGATTTTAAAATAAATAGGCATAAATGTCTGCCACATCAAGACATGTCGCGACAAAAACCGATGTGCCTACCTTCAAGGTCAAGGTCACACTTATAGTTTGAAGGTACTCATTCTCTCGAGAAGAGTTTGAAGTTACAAATTCATGTCCGGACTGTAATTTTGTCATGCATGGAACTTGGCACACATGTATACCACATCAATCGTTGAGGCTAAGGCTCATGTCCGTACGTGTGTCACCACATACACAATCATGTCTAGACTGTAACTTTGTCATGCATTGAGGGATTTTGAAATAAATTGGCACAAATGTCTATCTCTTAACAACATTCTGTCGCGTCCAGGAACAACGTCCCTTTTTCAAAGGTAAAGGTCACACTTATATTTTGAAGGTTCACGCTATCACAACAATAGATTATAGGTACAATAATACAAAGAACAATATTCAGCAATTCTCTTTTCTTTTCATAATACCTGCATGCTTAAGAATACTTTTCGGGGGCATTCGTCACTTGGGTGACAGCTCTTGTTTTGTAAATAAAATGTCGTCCAAAGATATATTACACTGCAGACTCATATATTTATATCGAACTAGATGATTAATTTATGCCTGACCGACAACTCTTTTGCACCTTTCGGTTGAAATTTTGCAACGTTTTATTGGGTTATTATTGGCGACGCCGGTGAACGGCGTCGTCTCTTATGGAATGCTTTTTATTTTGGCCTATAGAAGGAGCTGTTATTATTAGCAGTTAATTTCATGTTGTGTTAATTAGATTTATTTTGATTCGTAAAAATCAAGTAAACAAATATGTTGTTATATTTGCATTTAATAACTTTATATAAAAAGCATGTGCATTGTGATATTATTTTCACGAAATTGCAGGCTCAGTTTAACAGCTTGTCCTTTAGTTTTATTGACAATACTAAAACCCGGATTTCGAATATCGTTGTGGTCTTCATTGATGCCGTATCCATTCGTTCATTCATTTATATATTTTCAAAATTTTCCTACAAGAAGAAAGTTCACCTGCAAATTAGTATAGGGATTGGTAATGGACTGTTGTAAACGATTATCCTATTGATTTTATCCATATTACGTTTATCTGTTGCACAGAATGGTTGTTTTTACATTGTGTACCAGTATCCGGATGCTGAAAGCTATCCGATTTTCTGCAATTACTGCTGTCACATTGCCATCTATATTTTATGAATACTTTACCATGAATTTGCATGGCTTAATAAAACTGAGCCTGCAACATATCTTAATTTTGATGTTTAGGGTGTTCTTTTGGGTTTCAGGTTTTCTCTATTTTAAGGGGAAGTAAGTCATGTTTACTAAATTATTTGTTCTTTTCTGTCTATCTTAGGTATTACTTACTATTTTTATCTTATAAAATTTACCAGTTGTAAGGTCATCAAAAGCAAGGAGGCCCTGATGAGTGAATATATATTTTTTACTGGCTTTATATACCTTAAACCAGATTTTTCTAGTTTGTTCAGTTAGTACATATACCAATAGGTATTCTGCTAGAGGAATCTTCTAATCAATATGTGAAATTATTATTTTTTATGTGTTTGTATATAAATTGTTAATAAAATAACCTTTGGTAAAAATGAAAGGTACAATATTTAAGCTATACATATAGGTGCTCATTTTAAACACTTGATATATATATATGCAGACTATTTGAGATTTTTTTTTACTTTTATACTATACAATATCATGTACATTATAGTTTTCTTTCTACAAGATTATGAATTCCATCCAAACACCAATATTAATAGGATGTTATATTTATTTTTAATGGAACCTGAGAATGAATTATTAATGTAATGTGCATACAAGTGTATCATAGTATATGGATATAATGTGTATTTCTATATTTAAAGACTTACAGTTATGATGGATGAGACTTGCAATTAAATTTAATTTTATAAATGATAATACATGTATTAATCAGTCTACAGGTTAAAGATGTTAATACCCAATGTTAGCTGGCTAATAATAGTATCTATAACGGAGTTTATATATTATAGTTTTCTTTCTACTCGATTTTCAATTCCATCCATTAGTACCAATGTTAATGATAATGTTAGGATTTCATATTTATTTAATAGAAACTGGGAATTATTAATGTTATGTGCATACATGTATATTTTAGTATATTGATATGATGAGACTTATAATATTTCTGAATTTAATAAGTGACAGTAATGTCATTATTATTAAAGGGATGAGACTTTCATTTAAAGTTATAAATGATAATACATATATTGATTGAAAATGTCCTGAAACTTGGATCAAGCAATATAATTGATAAAGTCTCAAAAAAATCATAATTATTCTGAATAGTTATTCTAATTTTTTTCTAACATGTGCATAGTTTGAAAAGGACAGCTTTTGCCTTATCTATTTGTAATGGAGGGACACCCGTCTCAATCTCCAGTCTCCTGAGTCAACCCGACAACAGACTTTTCATAGAGTAGATTGTTACTTGCCCTTGAATAAATTTGTACACTAAATTTTATAGCGGGTGATTTGTGCCACATGAAAACCAACAAAGTACAAAAAGTAACCGGGCGCCAGATGAAAACATGAAAATACAATCGACCACAAAGTGGTTCGTTTGTTGCATTTTCATGTTTTCGCCCAGTGCCCTTGATACAAAATACAAATCAGCCTTCATAAAATTCTTATCATAGAAAAAAGGTTAGTTTTTTTATCTGTACAAAAATAGATATTGTACATGTATTAGCACAGTTATGTTCACTTTCAAATTGACCTGTTATAAATAATGGCACAACCAATAACTGTCTAAGCCCGTTTTAGTAAAATTAATTATACAATGATATATAAATTGTTATTTTAATTAAGACTATGAGTATGTAAGGGTTTTTTTTTCTTATTTATTAATTAAGAATTAATTATCTGTTAATTTAAAAATCTAAATATCTGTCACGGTTTAGAACTGTTCACTATTTAGGGTAGAAAATGTGTAAGCGGCCAGATAGCTCAATTGCTACAGCCGCGGTACATTATTCTGTGGGTCATAGGTTTGAGTTATGATCAAGCTGAAAGTTTTTCTCATCCTGTGACTGCATATAACCATGAGGTTAATTCACTATGCTCTGTAAACATCAGAAATTCAAGGACATTAATCAATATAGTGGGGAAGTATGTTGTGGTTTAGAACTGTTTCATTATTAAAGAGAAAATGTGTAGCCGGCTCGAACGCTAAGTTGGTCTTCTGAAAGTCATGTGCTCGTGTCATTGTCAGGAAGTTTCAGTCAGGGTTTAGATGTGGTTTTTCAACTGACACATGTTTGATTCATTTAATAGAGTGCATTTTATTTGAAATGGACAAAGACAGTATTGCATGCTACTTTTAGATCTATAAAAAGCATTTGATACAGTTGATCACACTATACTTCACATGAAGAAGTTCTTTTTCTTCTTCTTCATGGAACTTCAAGCATCTGCCATATGTAATGACATTCTTACAGAGTTCAAGTCTTATCTCTGATAGCAGCTGGTTGATGTGGCTGGTACTCCTTCAACTACTGCTCTGAGTATCCATGGTGTCCCCCTGATGTTTATTTTAGGTCCTCTTTTATGTCTTATATATGTCTAATATATGTCAATGACATGTCTGCAACCCTAAGCAATAAGCTTTTATTATATGCACAGGTACAAGTATCAGACCTGGGAAGAAAAAATGTGACCAGATTTTCTTCCCAGGTCCGATACTCGTGCATGTGATTATATGATTATGACTCAGGTATCCTTGTATCTGGTAAAATAAATCTTAAGATTGGTTAATTGACTATAAATTGTCTTTGCATCTTGGCAAGGCAGAGTCTATTCTTTTTGGTTTAAGTTTCAACTTAAACTGGGCCTAGCCTCCAGGTCACATGAAATGGTACTGCTATAAAGTACACATCTTTTGTTAAGTATTTAGGTGCAAACCTGGGTCAAATTCTTTTGGCGTCGCCCTTTGATGCTTTGCATCAATGCTTTTCTTGTTAACAATTGAACACTCCCGTTAACTGATTGCAAGTAAAACACTTGATTCCGGGTAAAGCAGTTGCACGGTAGGAAAGTCTTATAATCAATTGCTGCACAATGTATCATAGAAAGTAATCTGTAAAATCTTTTAACAAGAGGTCCATGATGGCCCTGAATCGCTCACCAGAAGCAACTGTTTTTCAGTAATTAAAGAAACATTTTTAAAAAAAATAAACTTGTAGAAATACAAGTCCAGGTCAACTTCAACTTGCCTCTCTAGTTATAAGGTTTCCAAACACTGATATTTTTTTCTTGACAGTAAAAATGATAGGAACCAAGTTTGGTGATCATCCATCCATTAATTTGTGATAAACTTTGCCTATGATTTTTTTCAAAATTGCGATCTTTCTTTTTTTTAATTAACTAAAGAATAATAATCTTATAATCTCATTATTTAGATATACATGTATACTGTTTGTCAGGATGACACCACCGGTCAATATTTATTTAAGATAACATAGGTATACTATTACTAGTCAACTTTACCAGAAAGTTAACATTTCAGGTTAATTATCTTTCTCTTTAACAGAAATGGGAATAATTGTATCTTTAACTACATAGAGGAAAAAGGCAAAATGTTGTTTTGATGAAATGTATTCAGTGAACATGCAAACAACTTTACATACACTGTATGAAACAGTGCAAAATTACTTTCAACAAGTGATAACCAAGTTTGCAAAATGTGTAATTGAAACTAATACTAAAATAGCACAAAGAATAAAGAGCCACCACCAGGTTGGGGCAACGCTCGACTTTTTACTTTTTCTTAAAGCAAACAAAGAAATGTTTGAACAAATTAAAAAGGTTTCCTTTTTATAAATTTAATCGGTCTGTCTTGTCACATTACTTTTGTCAATATATTATGAATATCTAATACATATATATATGCATTTATATTTTTATATATCAATGCGTATGGTGGTGGTGATGACCATGGTGGTGGTGGTCCCAATTATGGTGGCGTTCCGCATGTTGGCGGTGGTCCTCATGGCTGTAGAGGTCCACATGGTGGTGGTGGTCCACATGTTGGTGGCGGTCCACATGTTGGTGGTGGTCCCCATGGTGGTGGTGGTCCGCATGGTGGTGGTCCGCATGTTGGCGGTGGTCTTCATGGTGGTGGAGGTCTATATGGTGTTGGTGGTCCACATGGTGGTGGCGGTCCACATGGTGGTGGCGGTCCACAAGGTGGTGGTGGTCCGCATGATGGTGGTCCACATGTTGGTGGTGGTCCGCATGTTGGCGGTGGTCCGCATGACAGTGGTGATCCACATGGTGGTGGTGGTCCGCATGGTAGTAGTGGTCGGCATGGTGGTGGTCAGCATGGAGGTGGTGGCCCGCATGTTGGTGGTGATCTGCATGGTGGTGGTGGACAACATGATAGTGGTCTGCATTGTGGAAGTGGTCCGCATGGCGGTAGTGGTCCGCATGGTGGTGGTGGTCTGCATGGTGAAGGTGGTCATCATGGTGGTAATGGTCCGCATGGTGGAGGTGGTAAGCATGGAGTTGGTGGTCTGCATGTTGTTGGTGATCTGCATGGTGGTGGTGGTCAACATGTTAGTGGTCTGCATTGTAGTAGTGGTCAGCATGGTGGTGGTGGTACGCATGTTAGTGGTCTGCATGGTGATAGTTGTCCGCTTTGTGGTGGTGGTCTGCATGTTAGTGGTCCGCATGGTGGTGGTCTGCATGTTGGTGGTGGTCCCCATGGTGGTAATCTGCATGGTGGTGGTGGTCCGCATGGTGGTGGTCCACATAGTGTGGTGGTCTGCATGGTGGTGGTGGTCCGCATAGTGGTGGTGGTAACATTGTGTCCCTATATTTATTGAAATGTGCTTTCTCAAAGTTAGTAAGGTAGGAGAAACAAATGAAACATTACTTTAGGCCTTGGGGAAAATTCTCTAGATTGACCTACAAATGAACCTTAGAATGATGCAATTCCCACATACAAAGCTCATTGACCTCAGATCTCTGTAAAGCAAACAGGTCATAACATTAAGACACAAGTAAAAAAGTTAGTGAATGGCCAATTGCCCTTCAGAATGCTGATGGGGTTCTAACCGGTAGGGGACTTATGGGGACTTAGTATTGCTTGCAATACTATGATAATTGCTTGTTTTTCAAACTTTTTGTCCGGAGCTTATCTCAAACAGTGTTAGAGATATTAACATGAAACTTCATAAGTCTAAGATAAATCTCATTGAGGAGGAGTGCGGCACACACCTACCGTGCATTATTTTTCAGGTATTGCCCTTTGTTACTTTTCATACTTAATTTCGTCCAGAGCATAACTACAAAAGCCTTTGAGATATCAACATGAAAATGTGGATAGATCTCACTCAAGAGGTATGCAGTACACAAGAATGATAAATTATTCTGCTCTACTACATATGCATGGCTCTTGTAACAAGTTACATTACAATACTTAAAAACCTTCTTAACAAGTTAACCTGTCAATTAAACTCAATGCTATTTGGAGATACCTTAACATTATACTTATAACTTTTTTTTTTGATATTTTTTCTTTTTTTCGCCGTGACAATCACATTGCTGCATTTCCCAGCAATTTTTTACTTGTGTCTTAATGTTATGACCTGTTTGCTTTACAGAGATCTGAGGTCAATGAGAAGAAAAGAAAAAGACGTGTATAATCTCCAGACTGCCATCTACACATATTACAAGTTTCATGAAAATATTTCTATTACTTTTTGCGTTAACACTGGATCCAGTTTATGTGTAAAAATTGCCATATTTTCAGTCTATTTGTTGCCATAGCAACCAGAATTATCAACATAGGAAGAAAAGAAAAAGACGTGCATAATCTCCATACTGCCATCTATCCATATATCAAGTTTCATAAAAATATTTCCAGTACTTTTTGCGTTATCACTGGATCCAGTTTATGTGTAAAATTTGCCATATTTTCAGCCTATTTGTTGCCATAGCAACCAGAATTTTCAACATAAGAAGAAAAGAAAAAGACGTGCATAATCTCCATACTGCCATCTATCCATATATCAAGTTTCATAAAATATTTTCAGTACTTTTCAAGTTATCGCGGGATCCAGTTTTGTGGACGGACTGACGGACGGACAGACAGACGGACGGAAAGAGGGTTAACCTAAAGTCCCCTCCGGTAAACCGGTAGGGGACTAATAACAAAGGGCAATAACTCAAAAATTATAAAGGGTATCATTCTTGCGCACAACATTCCTCCTCAATAAGATCAATCCACCAATGAAGTTTCATGTTGACATCTCAAAGACCTTTTGAGTTATGCTCTACTCAGGTGAAAAATTAAGTATGAAAAAGTACAAAGGGCAATTACTCAAAAACTATGAAGGATAGAGTCATCACTCTTTTGCACTGCACACCTCCTGAGTGAGATCTATCTACCTATGAAGTTTCATGTTGATATTTCAATGGCTTTTGTAGTTATGAAGTTGTAACCTCTAACAATTTTTGAAATAAGCTCCGGACAAAAAGTATGAAAAATAACAGAGGGCTATAACTCAAAAATTATAATGGTTAAGTTATCATAACAGAGGGCTATAACTAAAAAATTATAATGGGTAAAGTTATCATTTTTGTGCACAACATTCCTCCTTAATAAGACCACCTATGAAGTTTTATGTTGACATTTCACAAGCTTTTTTAGAAATCTGCTCCACTCAGGTGAAAAATTTAGAATGAAAATAACAAAGGGCAATAACTCAAAAAATATGAAGGGTAGAGTTATCACCTCCTGAGTAAGATCTATCCACCTATGATGGTTCATGTTATATCTCAAAGGCCTTTGTAGTTATACTCTGGACAAAAATTAAGTATGAAAAATAACAAAGGGCAATAACTGAAAAACAATGCACGGTAGGTTATCATTCTTGGGTGCTGCAATCCTCCTCAATGAGATCTATCCACCTATGAAGTTTCAAGTTATTCCCTCTTACACTTTTGAGATAAGCTCCGGACAAAAAGTATGAAAAATAACAAATGTCAATAACTCAAAAATTATAAAAGGTAGAGTTAACATTCTTGTGCACAACATTCCTCCCTAATAAGATATATCCACCTATGAAGTTTCATATTGACATTTCAAAAGCTTTTTTAGAGATATGCTCCACTCAGGTGAAAAATTTAGTATGAAAAATAAAAAGGGCAATAACTCAAAAATTATGAAGGGTAGAGTTATCACCCTTATGCACTGAACACCTCCTGAGTGATATCTATCTATATATGAAGTTTCATGTTGATATCTCAAAGGCTTTTGTAGTTATACTCTGGACAAAAATTTAGTATGAAAAATAACAAAGGGCAATAACTGAAAAATATTGCACGCCCGGTTATCACTCTTGTGTGCAGCACTCCTCCTCAATGAGGTCTATCCACCTATGAAGTTTCAAGGTGTTACCTCTAACACTTTTTGAGATATGCTCGACTCAGGTGAAAAATTTAGTATGAAAAATAACAAAGGGCAATAACTCAAAAAATACATGTATGAAGGGTAGAGTTATCACCTCCTGAGTAAGATCTACCTCTAACACTTTTTGAGATATGCTCCGGACAAAAAGTATGAAACAAATATCAATAACTAAAAAAATATAATCAGTACAGTTATCATTCTTTCGCACAACATTCCTCCTCAATAAGATCAATCCACCGATGAAGTTCATATTGACATCTCAAAGTCTTTTTAGTTATGCTCCACTCAGGTGGAAAATAAAGTATGCAAAATTACAAAGGGCAATTACTCAAAAACTATGAAGGGGTAGAGTTATCACTTTTTTGCACTGCACACCTCCTGAGTGAGATCTATCTATCTTAAAGGCTTTTTGAGTTATGCTCTGGACAAAAATTGAGTTTGAAAAATAACAAAGGGCAATAACTGAAAAATTATGTAGGGTAGAATCATCATTGTTGTGCACTGCACTTCTCCTAAATATGATTTATCCACCTATGAAGTTTCAAGTTGATACCTCAAATACTTTTGAAGATATGGTCCGGACTAAAATGAGGACGGAAGGACAGACTGAAGGAAGGACAGGCGGACGGACGGAGACTAATTTTATATCCCCAACCGCCTTTTCGGCGGGGGATAATTAAACATTTTCCAGCTTATAGCTAAAGGAAACTCAGAATTTTGCTCACAATAATGAGACATGAATTCTGATTGAAGTTCAGAAGACTTTGTGTAAAAGACTGATTTACGGACCAAATTAAGTTGTTGTACAACCTGGTATGGTAAATGCTTACTGTGAAACGCATAGGGAAAACGAAGTCTCATTTTAGGGAAAAAATGTTTTATTGCGCAAGAAAATGAAATTATTCAAAAAAGACAACAAGAAAAGCATTGATGCAAAGCATCAAAGGGCGACGCCAAAAGAATTTGACCTAAATACTTAACAAAAGATGTGTACTTTATAGCTGTACCATTTCATGTGACCTGGAGGCTAGGCCCAGTTTAAGTTGAAACTTAAACCAAAAAGAATAGACACTGTCTTGCCAAGATACAAAGACAATTTATAGTCAATTAACCAATCTTAAGATTTATTTACCAGATACAAGGATACCTGAGTCATCATCATATAATCACATGCACGAGTATCGAACCTGGGAAGAAAATCTTATCATATTTTTTCTTCCCAGGGCTGATACTTGTACCTGTGCATATAATAAAGCTTAGTATTGCTTAGGGTTGCAGACATGTCATTGACATATTTTAGACATAAAAGAGGACCTAAAATGAACATCAGGGGGACACCATAGGTACTCAGAGCAGAAGTAGAAGGAGTACCAGCCACATCAACCAGCTGCTATCAGAGATAAAACTTGAACCATGTAAGAATGTCATTACATAGATGCTTGAAGTTCCATTAAGAAGAAGAAAAAGAACTTCTTTATGTGCAGTATAGTGTGATCAACTGTATCAAATGCTTTTGTAGATCTAACAGTATCATGCAATACTGCCTTTGTCCATTTCAAATTAAATGCACTTTATTAAATGAATAAAACATGTGCCAGTCGCAACCCACTTCTAAACCCTGACTGAAACTGCCTGACCATGACTCGAACACATGACTTTCAGAAGACCAACTGAGCTATCGGGCCGGCTACACATTTTCTCTTAAATAATGAAACAGTTCTAAACCACAACATATTTCTCCACTATATTGATTAATGTCCTTGAATTTCTGATGTTAACAGAGCATAGTGAATTAAACTCATGGTTATATGCAGTCACAGGATGATAAAAACTTTCAGCTTCACCATAACTCAAACCTGTGACCCACAGAATAATGTACTGAGCTATCTGGCCACTTACACATTTTCTCCCTAAAGAGTGAACAGTTCTAAACCATGACAGATATTTAGATTTTCAAATTAACAGATAAATAATTCTTAATTAATAAATAAAAAAAAAAACCCTAACATACTCATATAGTCTTAATTAAGATAACAATTTATATACCATTGTATAATTATTTTTACTAAAAAGGGCTTAGACAGTTATTGGTTGTGCCATTATTTATAACAGGTCAATTTAAAAGTGAACATAACTGTGCTAATTCATGTACAATATCTATTTTTTGTACTGATAAAAAACTAACCTTTTTTCTATGATAAGAAATTTTATAAAGACTGATTTGTATTTTGCATCATTGAGGGCACCGGGCGAAAACATGAAAACTATGCAACCAACAAACCACTTCGTGGTAGATTGTATTTTCATGTTTTCACCTGGCGCCTGGTTACTTTTTGAACTTTGTTGGTTTTCATGTGGCACATTAAATCACCCACTATGAAATTTAGTGTACAAATTTATTCAAGGGCA